AGTCCATGAAAAGCTTCATTATAAAAAAGCTTTATATTATACTTTTGTTTCACTTAAGGGTTTTTTTTTAGAAACTTTTAAATTATGAAACCTTCTTGACTCATAAAATATATGGTTTTTATAGCTAAAAGCTTTCTATAACTTGTAGTTGTTGTTTAAAAACATGAAAGCTTTATACAGCTTTAAGTTTTCGATTCATTGAAGTTATTTAGTATCACAAACCATAAAAATTTTTAAGAAAAAAATTTTTTTAAGAAAATTCGGAAAAAGTCGAAAAAATTCGGAAAAAGTCGAAAACTCGAAAATTGTAGAAAAAAGTCAAAAATAGTCCAAAATTTTAAAAAAGTGGAAAAAAAAAGTCAAAAACTCTTAATAGTCGGAAAAACTCGAAAAAGTAAAAAAAAATGTGGAAAAAAGTCACAAAGTCGGAAAAAGTCGAAAAGTCGAAAAAAGTCGAAAAAAGTCGAAAAGTCGAAAAGTCGACTATTTATAAAATACTTATAGTCGAAAAGTCTAAAAGTCGACTTTTAATTAAATGAAAAAAGTCGAAAAATCGACTTTTCATAAAATGCAAAAAGTCGACTTTTAACAAAATGAAAAAAGTCGAAAAGTCGACTTTTCGTTTCAACTATAGAACCCTAGTTGAAAGCTTTCCATAAATATTCCATTAGTTTTTAAGCTATTTGTCTTAGTTATTGTAAGGAACTAAAAAAACTATAAAAGCTTTTAAATTTGAACAAAACACTCAAAGCCAAAAAAGCTTTCAGGTTTTCCTAATAAAGGTTTTATTAGTTAGTTACAAAAGTAGTTTGTTAGTTAGCTAATCAGTTAGTTAGTTAGTAAGTTAGATAGTTAATTAATTCGTTATTTAGTTAGTTAGCTAGGTAGTTAGTTAGTAGGAGCGCACAACAGGCCAGATAGTGGCCTAGGTGTATTTGATCCTATCAATCTAACCTAACTAGTTAGTAAGTTAGTTACTCAGTTTGTTAGTAAGGTAGGTAGTTAGTCACTCAGTTAGTTAGGTAGTCAGGTAGTTAGATAGTTAGTCAGTTAGTTAATTAGTTAGTTAGTTAGTTAGTTATCAATCTATCTATCTATCTATCTATCTATCTATCTATCGATCTAGCGATCGAGCTAGCGAGCGAGCTAGCGAGCGAGCTATCTATCTATCTATCTATCTATCTATCTATCTATCTATCTATCTATCTATCTATCTATCTATCTATCTATCTATCTATCTATCTATCTATCTATCTATCTATCTATCTATCTATCTATCTATCTATCTATCTATCTATCTATCTATCTATCTATCTATCTATCTATCTATCTATCTATCTATCTATCTATCTATCTATCTATCTATCTACCTACCTATCTATCTATCTATCTATCTATCTATCTATCTATCTATCTATCTATCTATATATCTATCTATCTATCTATCTATCTATCTATCTATCTATATATCTATCTATCTATCTATCTATCTATCTATCTATCTATCTATCTATCTATCTATCTATCTATCTATCTATCTATCTATCTATCTATCTACCTACCTATCTATCTATTATCTATCTATCTATCTATCTATCTATCTATCTATCTATCTATCTATCTATCTATCTATCTATCTATCTATCTATCTATCTATCTATCTATCTATCTATCTATCTATCTATCTATCTATCTATCTATCTATCTATCTATCTATCTATCTATCTATCTATTCTATCTATCTATCTATCTATCTATCTATCTATCTATCTATCTATCTATCTATCTATCTATCTATCTATCTATCTATCTATCTATCTATCTATCTATCTAGTTAATTAATTAATAAGTTAAATAGTTAGTTAATAAGTTGGTTAATCAGTTGGTCAGGTAGATAGCTAGTTAGTTAAATATTTAGTTAGTTAGTTCGTTAGGTAAATAGTTAGTTAGTTAGTCAATTGGCGAAAGCTTTTTGTGTTTGACTTTTTGAAAGCTTTATAAGTATTTCTTTCGTAGAGGTTCACACTTTATGAAAGTTTTATATACCTTTTTTTTCAAGAAAACTTTATTGAAAATGTCCTTTCAAGACCTTTACTTACCTCTCTTTTTCTCTTTCAGGTAATTACATTAAAAACAATCGATTTAATACATTTTCAGGTATTTATAATTTTTTTTATTTTTCATTTTAAATTTTTTGTTTGTTTTGTGTTTCTTTATTCCAATACTTAATTTTGTTGTTGTTGTCTCTAAATGCATATAATCTTACATTTTACATACATAATATTTCATTTATTTACTATTATAATGTTTACATAGCTACACTTTTTTATTCCTTTTTTAAAAACTAAGTGTACAATACAATACAATCTATTACTATTTATTTTTAATTTATTATTTATTTATTTTATTTTTTTTTGTTTTTTGTCATTCTTCTTTAAATTGAAGAGCTTTTATTTGTTGTTTTTTTTTACAATCATACCAGTACTGTTTCTGTGTTTTGTGTGTGAAGAAAAAGTTTTCTTCACAAATTGTTTCTTAAGGGGGTTTAGAATTTATATTTCCATAAAAACTATTTTATTAAAATATTTTCTTTTTATTATTTTTTTATTTTATTTATTTATTTATTTTGTGCAAAAAATATGGCATTTTCTTCTTTTTTTAATTTTGTTACTATTTCTTTGTTTTTTTATTTAAATATTTTTCATTACTTTATTATAATTTATTTATTTTGTGTCTTACAATTCACTTGTTTTAAATATTTGTTGTTTTTTTATTTAATGTCTTTTCTTGTTTTAATTGTTACCAAAACATTTAGAATTATTTAATTTAAAGTTAAATATATAGAAAGGGAACTTAAGTTTAAGGGAAGTAGCTTTTTACTTGAGGGTTTTACAATATGTGAACTAAATACTAAATCTAACTTTTTAAAAGTTACTTTTTCAGTGTTTTTGTTGCTTAAAACGGGTCACTGTAGAGCTTGTTTAACTACTTAATTAGCAGGGTAAAAACAGTTGGTGCTTAAAATAAACATAATAAAACATTGTAAAAAACAATTAATAACTGACTCTAGAACTGATCTACAACTAGAACTGAACAAGAGCTGAACTATAACTAAACTAGAACTAAATTAAAACTGAACTAGAATTGAACTAGAACTAAACTAGAACTGATTTAGAATTGATCTAGAGAACTGAACTAGAACAGAAATAGAACTGAACTAGAACAGAACTAGAACAGAACTAGAACAGAACTAGAACAGAACTAGATCATAACTAGAACGGAACTAGAACAGAACTAGAACATAACTAGATCTAGAACGGAACTAGAACAGAACTAGATCTAGAACGGAACTAGAACAGAACTAGAACAGAACTAGAACAGAACTAGAACAGAACTAGAACAGAACTAGAACAGAACTAGAACATAACTAGAACAGAACTAGAACAGAACTAGAACAGAACTAGAACAGAACTAGATCATAACTAGAACTAGAACGGAACTAGAACAGAACTAGAACATAACTAGATCTAGAACAGAACTAGAAAAGAACTAGAACAGAACTAGAAAAGAACTAGAACAGAACTAGAACAGAACTAGAACAGAACTAGAACAGAACTAGAACAGAACTAGAACAGAACTAGAACAGAACTAGAACAGAACTAGAACAGAACTAGAACAGAACTAGAACAGAACTAGAACAGAACTAGAACAGAACTAGAACAGAACTAGAACAGAACTAGAACAGAACAGAACTAGAACAGAACTAGATCATAACTAGAACTAGAACGGAACTAGAACAGAACTAGAACATAACTAGATTTAGAACGGAACTAGAACAGAACTAGAACAAAACTAGAACAGAACTAGAACAGAACTAGAACAGAACTAGAACAAAACTAGAACAGAACTAGAACAGAACTAGAACAGAACTAGAACAGAACTAGAACAGAACTAGAACAGAACTAGAACAGAACTAGAACAGAACTAGAACAGAACTAGAACAGAACTAGAACAGAACTAGAACAGAACTAGAACAGAACTAGAACAGAACTAGAACAGAACTAGAACAGAACTAGATCATAACTAGAACTAGAACGGAACTAGAACAGAACTAGAATATAACTAGATCTAGAACAGAACTAGAACAGAACTAGATCATAACTAGAACTAGAACGGAACTAGAACAGAACTAGAATATAACTAGATCTAGAACAGAACTAGAACAGAACTAGAACAGAACTAGAACAGAACTAGAACAGAACTAGATCATAACTAGAACTAGAACGGAACTAGAACAGAACTAGAACATAACTAGATCTAGAACAGAACTAGAACTAGAACAAAACTAGAACAGAACTAGAACAGAACTAGAACAAAACTAGAACAGAACTAGAACAGAACTAGATCATAACTAGAACTAGAACGGAACTAGAACAGAACTAGAACATAACTAGATTTAGAACGGAACTAGAACAGAACCAGAACAGAACTAGAACAGAACTAGAACAAAACTAGAACAGAACTAGAACAGAACTAGAACAAAACTAGAACAAAACTAGAACAGAACTAGAACAGAACTAGAACAGAACTAGAACAGAACTAGAACAGAACTAGAACAGAACTAGAACAGAACTAGAACAGAACTAGAACAGAACAGAACTAGAACAGAACTAGAACAGAACTAGAACAGAACTAGAACAGAACTAGAACTAGAACAGAACTAAAACTGAACTAGAACTAAATTAGAGCTGAATTAGAACTGAACTGAATTATAACTTAACTAGAACTGAGCTAAAACTGAACTAAAACTGAACTAGAACTGAACTACAACTGAACTAGAACTGAACTACAACTGAACTAGAACTGAACTAGAACTGAACTAGAACTGAACCAGAAGTGAACTATTTATTATTTTTTATTAGTTATTTTTTTGAAAATCTTTAAAATATTAAAGAAATTGTTGAAAAATTTATTTTATTTAATAAAATATTAAAGGCTATTTTAGCTAAAAGGGTTTTTTTGAATAATAATAATTTTTTTTTTCTCTCTGGTAAATTTTGCAGCTAGAAATTGTGTACATTTTTTGTTGTGTTTAGATTAAAATATAAATTAAAAACTTTAATAATACTATTTACTAAATAACTGTTGTTTTTTATGAAATTGTTCAACAAATTCGTGTGTTTTAGCATGAGTTATCTCTATTTTTCTCCGTTTATTAATAATTCATGGAAGCCTCCTTATGTTTCGAACCTCTACACATGAGTCGTAAAATTAATATAATTAAAACAATTATCGCCATTGAGATGGCAACGAAGAAACTTAGTTCGCCATATGATAATTTACGCGTATATTCCTTTATACAAATCAAAGAGGATTCATCATCTAAAATGGCATTCATTAAGTGTTCTTTGTCTTTGTGTTCATGCCATAAATCAAATTGCTCTAGATTCCATTGTATGTGTTGGGTGAGATCTTCCAGCGAGGAGGTATGCGAAACATTGGGACAATTTTGTATGCCATCACAGACCAAGTGGCGGGGTAGACAGATATGTGAATTGCCAGGACACTTGAAGTTACATTCATTATCTTGTAGTAGAGAGGCAGCCAGACTGCCATCTGGATTGCGGGGTAAGTGGAAAAGTTCAGTCCATACCAGACGGAAGATATTCTTGCCCGGTTGGCCATCACCTGTGTATTGTATGAGTACGGGTAAGGGTTCCTGATCGGCACCCAAAGCACCCAAATCGGCGGTAGATAAAATGGGTAAATCTCTTGCCAAGGAGACATTTTCAGGACATATAATAAAGCGGGGTTCTAGGCGACCAGCTAGATACACTTCTATCTTAGCACTGTCACAGGTGCGATCACCAAAACGAGCCTTCTCCAAATTCAGCCATAAATCTCTTTGTGAGGCCACTTTCAATTCCCAAATACATTTCTCTCGTCTATAATGATGCTCCGGCTGGGAACCCATGGGTCCTGTAACCAAAGCCAAGGCTTTTTTGAAAGGATATACCAGCTCACCATCGGGAGAAGGTCCCAAAGTAATGGGGCCACATAAAGGACCATGGGCAAACTCATAGGAAGCTTCAAATAAAGGATTGGGATTCTTAAAATAAGAGGTAATGGCATGCTGGCCTTGTACTATCATTTCCAAATTCATTTGATCGGCTGAGGAGATAACTCTTACCGGCCGCGGTATATTGTCACAAAAACAGGCCAAATTATTTTGAAACTTTTCTCTTTCCTCCCATATAACCAGTTTATCCACTCTCTCCTCATGACATCTAGTGCAGGCATTGTTATTGTAGGGCAATTCCTTAAACATAACCGAGTTCACTTCTATAACAGCTCTCGCGTAAAGTCTGCGATCGGTAACAAATTTATATTGACAGCGTACATCGGAGCCACCAGTTCTCTTAAAGATTAAAGAATTCATGGGAGAACGTATCTTACCACCCGGATGTTTCCAAGCATACATAACCTCATCACATAAGGTATTAGGTACCGGATCACCAAAACGTGTATTATTAAAGAAATCATAATGGGCCCAATAATACAAAGAACTGCCGCTATAAGAACCCGTTTTCGATTCAAACTGCACATACAGCGAGGGACTAGTGCTAACAAAGTCCACCTTTTCCATGGGGCGCGAAAAAGTATCACAGAAAGTTTTGATAATGCGTGCCGGATCAGCATGATCAGAATCGTATATAGTCAAGGACTCACCACAGTCGCCATCGTATTTCAAAATGGGCGATTCTATGCGATTAATGCGAAAACTGTAAAAAAAGAGAAAAATGAAAATTAATTATTTTCTTCTTTTAAGTTTAAATTTCTTTTATTTTAAGCTTTATGCCCTTAAAAAAATCTGTTTTTACCCCAACTAAACCCAAATATGTTTTCTTTTAATCTGATCATAAAAGTTAGAGTTTTTTTAAGGGATTTAGTTTTGCGCCTAAAATTGCAAAAAACTAACAAACCTCAAAACAACATGTATTACCACATACTCTCGTTTAAAACAAAATTGAAATGAATCCCAGCCTAACTGGCAAACTGGCAGAGAGCCAACATAATTCCTTTAGAAAAAAATACTAGAATCTGTGTATCCTTTTTAGTGTAACAGTAAACTGGAAAACATAATCTCATCCTTTGCTTATTTAACACTCATGTATGTATGTTTGTGTATAAAGAAAAAAGCCCTAAAACTCAAAATACAAGTACTAAAAAGGAAAACAAATCTAAACCAAATAAACCCAAGTGACATAGTAAAAATAACACAGAAATATGTATTAAAGGAAATAGAGACAATAAAGATGGGCAAACATAATCTGAAAATATTGAAGAAAAACTTTGAAAAAGTACCAAAATAAAGTACTTTTTGTAAAACAAAATATCATCTTATAGGAAATGATCCAAAAATTGTACCAAAAACTAAATTTGAAAAATAGTAGTAGAAAAAGTACTTTTTCAGAAAAGTGTAGAAAGTAAGAAAAAAAGGACTTTCTATAAAAATATATACAATTTCATTGAAATTGTTAAAAATTTCACTTTAAAAAAAGTAGTAGAAAAAGTACTTTTTTAAAAAACTTGCAGAAAGTAAGCAAAAAAGGACTTTCTATAAAAAATATATATAATTTGGTTGAAATTGCAAAAAAATATTTTCAAAAGTTCATTTTAAAAAAGTAGTAGAAAAAGTACTTTTTTTCAAAATCGCATAAAGTAGTACAAAAAACACTTTTTTCTTTAAAACCGATTGGTATTGAAGAATAAAAAACAATCACATGCTTCCTAAAGGCAATCAGAAAATAGTATATTCACTACTATTTACAATAATTAGTACCTTTCAGAAAATATTTGCAAATAAGTATTTTTTCTCCTTAAAATAATTAAAATTGACAACAAATATATGTATATAATTTCATTGAAATTGTTGTCACTATAAAAAAGTAGTAGAAAAGTACTTTTTTTAAAAAACTTGCAGAAAGTAAGCAAAAAAGGACTTTCTATAAAAAATATATATAATTTGGTTGAAATTGCCAAAAATTATTTTCAAAAGCTCATATTAAAAAAGTAGTAGAAAAAGTACTTTTTTCAAAATCGCACAAAGTAGTACAAAAACCAAATTTTTCTTTAAAACCGATAGGTACTGAAGAATAAAAAAAAATCAAATGCTTCCTAAAGGTAATCAAAAAAAAGTATATTCACTACTATTTTTAATAATTAGTACCTTTCAGAAAATATTTGCAAATAAGTACTTTTTCCCCTTAAAATTATTAAAATTGACAACAAATATATATAATTTCATTGAAATTGTTGAAAATTTCACTTTAAAAAAAGTAGTAGAAAAAGTACTTTTTTAAAAAACTTGCAGAAAGTAAGCAAAACAGGACTTTCTATAAAAAATATATATAATTTGGTTGAAATTGCAAAAAAATATTTTCAAAAGCTCATTTTAAAAAAGTAGTAGAAAAAGTACTCTTTTTCAAAATCGCACAAAGTAGTACCAAAAACAGTTTTTTCTTTAAAACCGATAAGTATTTAAGAATAAAAACAATTCACATGCTTCCTAAAGGTAATCAGAAAGTAGTATATTCACTACTATTTTCAATAATTAGTACCTTTCAGAAAATATTTGCAAATAAGTACTTTTTCCCCTTAAAATAATTAAAATTGACAACAAAGTGTTCAAATTAATAAGTATTAGGAAAAAAGTAATGAACGTTTATAACCAAATTGACCCTTCTCTACCCCCACAACAAAAAATCTTTTACACCACTGCCTTTCTACGTCTGTTTTCATATACATAAGTGTTATAAACAAATAACAACTGCAGCATTGTAAAAAAAATGGAAATCATATGAAATGGAATTATTTTTGTTCATTCGCAAAGCAAATAGAATTTACCACCAAAAAATTATATAACTCTTAAGCTTTCTTTTACATCGTTATGATGATGTTAAGCTTTCAGGTGATACCATATAACAGACATAAGCACATGGCAACTTGTAATGGAAATATGTATGAGAGACCCAAAAAAAAAAAAAATTGGCAAAGAAAATTCTAAACATTTCAATGGATAAACCAAAAACATTTTTTAAATAAATTTAATTAGTAAAATTTTTAATAAAAAGAACCAGAACAGAAATAGAACAGAACTAGGACAAAACTAGAACGGAACTAGAATAGAATAGAACTAGAAAATAACTAGAACAGAACTAAAACAAAACTAGAACAGAACTGGAACAAAACTAGAACAGGACTAGAACAGCACTGGAACAAAACTAGAACAGCACTGGAACAGAACTAGAACAGAACAGAACTAGAACTGAACTAGAACAGACCTAGAACTGAACTAGAACAGAACTAGAACAGAACTAGAACCGAACTAGAACAGAACTAGAACAGAACTAGAACAGAACTAAAACAGAACTAGAAAAGAACAGAACTAGAACAGAACTAGAACAGAACTAGAACAGAACTAGAAGAAAACCAGTACAGAACTAGAACAGAACTAGAAGAAAACTAGAACAGAACTAGAACAAAACTAGAACAAAACTTGAACTGAACTAGAACAGAACTAGAACAGAACTAGAACTGAACTAGAACAGAACTAGAACAGAACTAGAACAGAACTAGAACAGAACTAGAACAGAACTAGAACAGAACTACAGAACAGAACTAGAACAGAACTAGAACTAGAACAGAACTAGAACAGAACTAGAACAGAACTAGAACTAGAACAGAACTAGAACAGAACTAGAACAGAACTAGAACTAGAACTAGAACAGAACTAGAACAGAACTAGAACAGAACTAGAACAGAACTAGAACAGAACTAGAACAGAACTAGAACAGAACTAGAACAGAACTAGAACAGAACTAGAACAGAACTAGAACAGAACTAGAACAGAACTAGAACAGAACTAGAATAGAACTGAACTTGAACTGAACTAGGAATGAAGCAGAACAGAACTAGAACAAGAACAGAACTAGAACGGAGCTAGAACAGAACTGAACTAGAAATGAAGCAGAACAGAACCAGAACAGAACTAGAACGGAGCTAGAACAGAACTAGAACAGAAATACAACAGAACTAGAACTGAACTAGAACTGCACTAGCACAGAACTAGAACAGAACTAAAACATAACTAGAACAGAACTAAAACAGAACTAGAACAGAACTAGCACAGAAGTGGGCTTTTTGTTGCATGAAATATTTTGTTTACCAGCGTTGCCATATTTCACAAATTTGTTATATATTTAACCGATTAAAGCATTTTTTGTAAGGTTATAACTTGCGAGATATTTAACTGTTTGAAACTAGAGTCAAACACTAGCTAATAATATAGGCTATTTGTTTTATGTAATAATGGTATTACCAGTGTTGCCAGACTTTAAGAATTTGTTATTTTAAATTATTTTTTTTTAATTGCTATAATTTTGAAACAACTTAAGGGATTTGCTTGAAACTGCATGACGTCAGTAATAATTAAGATTTTTACGGTATGAAAAATTTGTCTTACCAGTGTTGCCACATTTGATACATTTGTTATTTTATAGTAAATTTTCATAAATTGATTTTTAAATGTTATGAAAGAGAATTGTGATGATCAAAAAAACAATAGGTTGTTAGTGTTACCATACTTTTCTGAAACTTGTTATTTTATTAAAAATTCTTTTAAATTGTTGTAACTTGGAAAATACTAAACGAATTTAAGTGGAACTGCAACAATTCGAAAGCCTATGTACTCCTCGAGTTAATTTTTTAGATTATTTAAATTTTTCCAGAGTATGTGAATACTTAAGCCAGAAGTGATCATTATTTTCAGCCTTAAACTCTTACACTTCTTCAACTCTGACTATAACGAGCCAACCATACCGAAACCACAAATATAAACATGCACAAACATGCAGCATCAAATAAAAACAAATGAGCTTATATGCCCCTTAGTGTAGGCAACATTTTATATATATTTTTTAATAAACTCCTTTGCCTGTTAGCACACTGCTACCACTAGGTTACAAAATTTTTATATAACGATGACGAGTTATAAAATTTAGCATTATTGTAGTAGTAGTTGTAGTTGTGTTAATACTCATCAGGATAAGTTCATAACAACATTGTGCTGTCATAAGTGTGTCAGCATTTTTTTTGGATATTGTCGTCTTTTTACTCCCTTTTTCATAGGGGTTTTGTATGTTGTGTTGTTGTGGAGTATATTCGGATTATAAGGACATACCGCAAGGCATGTTATAAGTCCTTGTATTCTTTTTTGGTAAGTTTGTATATTTCTTTTCGGCTTAGAAGTAGAGTAAGAGTATTAGGGTGATGGATGGAAAATTTAGGAAACCTAAACTAAAGTCTAATTGAATTCCTTAATATTTTCTTAAAGATATTTTTTGATACAAAAAAATTTAAATCTGCAAATTCTTGGTCCAGCCCATAACATTGGCTAACATTCTTCCCCCTTTTCAAAATTAGTACTTTTTACCTTACCCCCCTAATTTCTCTAACTCTATTTGAACGCAATGTAACGTTATGCACGTTTATGTCGTAAATACAATTTTATATATAAGATATCTATTTATTTTCTTTTATTTTTTTATATAAACTAAGTACAATATTTTGGTAGGTATTTCTTTTTTTAGGTATCGAGAGTAGAGTAAAGCAAATAAAAATGAAATGAAATTGTGCTGTAACAGCATAATTTTTGGTACGTTTCTATATCTTGCTGCCCTATGCTGCTGACTTGATGCTTTTGCAATATCTTCTGGTGGCCTCTGCTAC